CCAATCAATCAATCGATCAATCGATCAATCGATCAATTAATCGCCCAGCTGTCCCTTACAATCTCCTTAGCTCTGCAGTACTCAAGTCTGCCATTCGTCCTCAAGCAAATGCTGGACTCACAAGCCCACTAATTTACATGACGAGCAAAGCCGACGTTGGGGCACCTCATTGTCCAACCATCACAACGATCATCACCATCATCATTATCCTCATTACCATCACCGTCACGGACATCGCCACCTCCCCCAGCACCAATCATCATCATCATCATCATCATCATCATCACTATATGGTCGCATCATCATCCTCATCATCGTCATCATCATCATCATCATCATCATCATCATCATCACGCTCAACGTGGACTGCCGCGAAACGATATCCCTAGGTTTCCGATGACCAGCCAGGCATATGCCTTCAGTCTTGATTGATGGGAGAAAACCTGAACCTCCGCGACTCCAAATAGCACCCTGATTTATGAGAATGCTGTTTCATCGGACCTCATTGGCATCTGTATCCCGACAATACCCATAAAGAAAGCGAGGCTGTGACATTTTGTTCATCGATCATCGAACCTATTTGGCATCTGTATCCCGACTATACCCATAAAGAAAGCGAGGTTGTGACGTGCTGTTTCATCGGACATAGGTGGCATATGTATCCCGACTATAATCAGACATCACCAAAGAAGGCACAAGAAAACAGGCAAGCGCTGTCATGCATACTGTAATTAATACCGCCAAGGCCTTTCTCAGAAGACCCCCTACCGTTTTCTTACATTGTCGACAGCAAATCGTCTTTCCTTCAACAGAAAATCTATACAGAACGGCATTTTCCATAGTGGCCAGCCGCCACGACCATGGTGTTCTCAAACTGCCTTAGCACATACTCACAGTGGGACTTTTTCACTTGTTTCTGGACGTAATTGTGGTCAGATGCATCCACGTTCGGCCGTAAATGCGGTCAGACACATTTAAGATAGAGCTGATGATGTGAGGACCCCCTCAATCAGGAGTCGAAAGTAAACGATGTGAACCCCTTTTTTCGTGTCCTCTAAAGCAAACTCCCATTGCATATGAGAGAGAGATCGCGCGTTCGATTCCTGTGATCGACTAATGGATGCTTTCCTAGCATTGGTTATTACTTTCGATTGGCTCGTTAACTGTCTAAAAGAGTGCGCCGTCATATCTTTTCAAGTCCGGTCAAACATAACCAGGCTGCTTATAACCGTGTTTTGAAATATAGTATGGCTGAAAACTATTTCTGATTTTCGCTGACCATTTCTGACTGAATGCCAAAATCTCTGCATCCACTTCTCTCTCTCTCTCTCTCTCTCTCTCTCTCTCTCTCTCTCTCTCTCTCTCTCTCTCTCTCTCTCTCTCTCTCTCTCTCTCACACACACACACACACACACACACACCTGCGCGCGCGAACGAGCAAGCTTACCCCTTTCTAGGCCCCACAGACACGCGAGCATAGACGCGCACAGACAAGAGACGTACAGGTAGGAGAGAGCACTTCTCTGACTAGCCTTCTCAAGCACCTTGACAAGGCAGAGGGCCAGAGCTCTATGCTCTGTCGCCGCGCACAGAGTCACGACTGAGTCGAAGAACTGAAGACTGGTCATGTAGGCACGGCTCAGTCCAGCCACTGTCACGGTCCATTTTGGGATCGTTTGGTCAAAGGGTAACCTATATTTCGATACACAACGCCCCAATCGACGAGTTATTAATAAGCGTATCTATAATAATAATAATAAATATAACTATTTACTAAATTTTGATCAATGAAAATATCCTTCATATTGTCCTTGAATCCAGTCAAAACAGGGACGCAAATTAACATCCAAGCGTCATTTCCCCCTCCCTCAAAGCACAAATAAGGGCATAATAATAAACTCAAAAAAACAACCGCATAAACATAGCCCACGTGGCTGAATGGTACACCCATGAACTCTGGACCAACAGACCTAATTCCGATAATAACGCCTTGCCTGGGGCCGGCCAGTCCGATGATGATATCTCAAGGTCATCACCCTTCACAAAAAAGAAAAAACAATCAAAAGAACGAAAGAAAGAAAGAAAGAAAGAAAGAAAGAGACCCGGATTACAGCGAACACAACTCTTGGATGGACGAATTTATGCAAAAAGACGCGCGTGCAAGAACATCCTAGGAGACTGCCTACCTGACCATAGGAGAATGGGGTGGTATACGTGATTAAGCGATATCCCACTCCACGGTTCTACTATCCCGGCCAGGCACTAATCAATCTTATTAGACCATGACCTTAGAGATCTGTCTTGCAGTCAAGGGAGACAGTTCTCATCATCCGCCGTCATCTGCAGGCCAGCAGCACATACCCTACCGAGTTAAGTCTGCCAAATCATTTCTCACTTACAGTAATAGTTTGCTTGAGGAGCAAAGTCAGATAACTCATTTCTCTTGTACTCGATTGAAGAAGACCCACAACAATTCCAAGCAAAGAGGATGGAGAGGGTTAAAGCGGAGATAGGAAAACCGGACAGACAGTATACTCCCCTCGAAATGAAGAACGAAGATCTGAGAGTCCGGTCAAAAAGAGAAAGAGAAAAAGCGCATGCACAGAGAATATGCTGCACAGAGAATATGCGGCTGTCAAAGGTTATTTAGATCAAATTCAGATTTCTCAAATTCTAACGCAGGCAGACAGCATCAGGAGGACGACCGGAAGGAGTGTGGAACAACAAACGGATTGTTTTGTTTTAAAGAAAGAGAGAAAGAGGGTGGACAGGAGAAAGGACAAAAAGAGGTAGAAGACAATTGAGGCAGGAGAACAAGGTAGGGTAAAAGTGCGTAAACAAGAAAGCAAACAGACGACGTGGAAGGTAAAGAGGGCAAAAAGAGGCAAGAACAGCACAGAAGAGCGAGAGAGAGACACAGAGAGAGAGAGAAAGAGAAATGCGGAAGCGACGGAAGAGATTGGCCGGAAGAGTCGGGAGAAAAGAAAAGAGGCCAAAAGGAGGCGGCAAGAACAGCAGAGGAGAGGCAGAGATAGACACAGAGAGAGAAAGGGAGGAAAGGTGGAAGCGACGGAAGAGAATGTGGTCTGAGGATTCACGAGAAAAACAATACGAGGGAACACGGAATAATAGCCGACAGAGAAAATAATAATACTACTTGAAACAAGGGAAACGGCAAGATGAGAGAAGAGAAGGGAGACAATTACACCCAAGCAGAGCGGTCGAGGACAACGGGGCGCTTCGTTGGAGCGCCCAATGCGAGCGGGGGAGATTGCGGAGAGAGTGACAGCGCGCAAGCATCCTCTAGACAGATTCCATGTGAATAACCACTGCACTAGGAAAGAGACATGGGGAAAGGGGGCGGGAGAGACGCAAGAAGGAGACCAGATATGACACACGGGGAGAGAGCGAGAAGAGAAGCGAAACAAACAGAAAGAGAGAGAGAGAGCGGAGAAATCTACCACAGTCGGTAAACAATTACATACCGTGAGAAAGCAACTGCCAGACGACGAGATGAGCTTCTGAAGGCGAGCAGCAGGAGTTGACTGTCAAGGGCTCGCAGAGATCATAGGAGAGGAAGAAACTTGGAGTAAGAATGACTAGCGCAGAGAATCACGACCAGTACAAAGGGCGCAATCAATGGACGCGGAAGAGGGTGCGCACAGAGAGGGGCGTCCGCTACAATTTTGTGCGATACAGAGGAGATCGGGAGGACCCCTGCGCAAGGACACCCAGCGCAAATCGACATATCGCCCAATCTTCCAAAACCAACGAGTGAGAAGAAAAGAGGAAGAGAAAGCAGGAAAAAAAAAAAAAAAAACACTCAATGCAGTAGTGACACGCAGCACGGAAAACAAGCGGATTCAGTGACGCCGCGTAGAGATCAGAAGCGGAAAGGGGGGCGGGGGGAAAAGGGGGGGGAAAGGAGGGGGGGGGACAGACAAGGAAAAGCTCAACGCAGGAATGAGAAGCGGCATGGAACACAAGCAAGTTCGATGAGACCCACAGAGGAGAGATCGGAGAAAGGAGGACGAGGACAAGAACGTGGTGTGAGGAAAGAACTGAGGCGGAGGCAACACAACGGAAGCGCGCCAACGATTGGAGAAGGGTTCGCGAAGGGCTCTGAACGAAGGAGACGCAGTAAAACTTGACAGCTTCCCCCCGAAAGAAGAGAGGAGAAATATAACGCAAATCTGAGAGGGGATAAAACGTGAGAGAAAGAAAGGAAGGAGGAGATGCAGTGTGAGGAAAGAGGACCCCAGGCGTGGAGATGAGTGCGCTGGTGACGTTAGAACGAGAAGAAGGAAGACGAAGAAAGGGAGAAATGAGAAGAAGAAATCGACGGAAGAGGAGGAAAAGGAGAGAAATGAGAATAAGAAATCGACGGAAGAGCGGTTCTTCATTTTGCTTTTGGTGTTGAAGAAACTCGGGAAGTAGGCCGAAAGAGAGGTGGAAATTTTGTTACCAAGGAAAAAAAGGAAACGAGGGACGGTAGGGGAGAAACGCATAGAGAAGACAAAAATATTCTAGCAAGGGAGAGAGAGAACGGGGGGGGGGGAGGGGACCAGAAGATGAAGAACACGCCATTACACAAAGGGCCAAGAAAAGAGCGAAAGAAGCGGGAAGCGGGAAGCGCTCGCGGACTTGATGGCGCAAAATTGAGAGTGCATTCCACCATGCGGGGGAGTAACCGCGACCGCGCACCTTGATACATTGCATACGCGCCGCGCAGCACAGAGGACCGTGAGGCCAGAATTGCCTCTTGGGGAAGAAGAACCGCGAAGACGAGGTTCTTCCCCACCGCCACCAAGCACTCTCTCTCGCGCGCACGCGCAAGGATCGCCTGCAGGTGCCCCGATCGATAGAAGAAGACGACGACGTTAAGAGCGTCGTAAGATAGGAGGAGACCTATTCGTTGCAGGAGGCAAGCAATCCCCATTAAGGGCTGGAAGGACAGACAGGCAGACAGGTAATCTGTTCAAAGGCCATGAATTGCTCACTTGTTGATCTGGGATATGACCCCATCGAAATACACCAATGCTGTGTCGTAGTTTCCCAGTAGAGCGTACTCTCTTGCCATGGTCATCTGGTCGATGATGCCCGCGAGAGCCATTCCGGATTAAAGACGTTGACGTCACCAAATTTACACCGCGAAGCTAGATGACCGAACGAGTCTTCAACACAGGCCAAGGGCTTCCTTCGCGAACCAATCAACTGGTGCTGGGAGGACATCACTCGCTGTGCGCATGGATCAATGACAAGCTCCTTGGGTTTTCGACACGGCGTCGACACCTGCATTAGGCTCGCAATCAGGCTCGGTTTCCGCACAGTCAACAGGCCCAGTCGGCACAACCAAGGTCATTCTTTTTTTGCCTTCTTTTTTTCCCCGAATGCCGCACGCTTGAGGATCGGTACTTCACCACATTTCGAAGAGACCATTTGAGAGGGAGGAGACAATGCTGGCACACTTGCAACTGTTGCGCCTTACGACGACCGCCATAGCCGCCACCTTCAAGCCGAGGGTAGGATCATCGGCAAGCACGGCGGGCGCGCATGATCGTGCCCTTCCTCCATCCTCCATATCTGTAGCATGTGTTCACAATGCAGATCAAACGATGACCACGAAGACTACCCCAAATCCGACAAGAAGCACCTAGAGCCATGAGACTGAGGAGCGACTTCCGAGTTTCCCCCCGCACGTCAATCGCCTGACCTGATGTGCCGTTCAGCGAACTCTCCACGTGGCCGGCACGGCCGCGAGACCACTCAGCCGTCGTTTAATTTGAACTAGCAGGGGAGAGTTGGCGGGAAGCCTGCGCGGCTGACTGCCGATGTGCGTGAATGTTGAGTTTTCCCGCCAAGCTGCGGCGATCCAGGCGCTTTCTTCAGCTGTCCTTCCACTGCCGCGCAAGCCCACCGATACCCTCTTCCCCCGCCGACCCGCTTGGGCCCGACACCCGCGCCCACTCCC